TGAAAGAAATTTGCTCATTGCCAAAGTTTGTTGTTCCTTTGATTGCATTTTAAATTTTGAATTTTTTTACGGATAATACCAATTTCGTTCATTTAATTTTCTTCACTTCTCTCAATCTAACACGTTCTTTAAACTCTCTCACTCTATTGTCTAAATTCCAGCATTGTACAAGAATTATATTGCAAATTTTTTGGAATTATGAACATATTGCATATTATATTTGAAAGTATGCTAGAAATTCAATCCATTATGGTAATAGTTTTATATTACAATTTAGTATCAATTACATTAATTTAATTTTCAAATATAGAATTATTCGATAAAACCATCAGTAACTTGTCGGAATCAAAAAAAAGGTACAACCTTAGAAGAGGGAAAAATTAGACCTCGACAAAATACAAAATTCAACCCACTATGACAGAGTAGCCTACCTCTTATCGAATGCAAGAATTATTCTCTCCCTTGCTAGTTCCATAAATTAATGAAGCAAATCAAATTCAAATATGAGGAAGGGGATTGTTATCAGTCATAACCTGGAGTAAGCTTTGGATGTCTCATGTCCTTCTTTGTACACTCAGTTACGTACAAAACAATCTTTGTTAGCTCAGTTTTTATTGAACAAGTACTGCAGGCAGTCACCCTTTACTTGCATCTGTTCCACACTCAGGGTCAATGGCACGGAGTGGCCACACTGGGACACATGTTCTTTTGGCAAGACTGTTGGATGAGGAACTCTACTGTGGTATATTGGCTGTTTTTTACAGCTTTGTGGACCTTTGAGTTGTGAAAAATAGAAGGCAGAACTCGTACCAGCAGCAGCAGGAAGAAAGCTGAAGGAAAACCAGTGAAACAGGGGAAAACATGGGAGCTGGGAAGAAGAAAAATCGAGACAGAGATGGGTGCAAATCTGATTGATTTCCCTTGAACGTACAGCAGCAATTTTTTTACATTATAAAGGCTGAAATTGTAACCTACTACAAGACATAAAATCAGCCATACACTTGTCTAGTTTACAGCCCTTGGATTAGACAAAATAAAGAAAGATTTCTTTGACTTTTTAAAACACATTACACAT